CGAGTTGTCGTGGCAATCCAATTAACACTAATTGTGAATTCCATAACAATGCCTAGGAAGACAAGTTTAGGCACCTCAGGACGTTTTCAAGCTAATGTTTAGGCATCTAATGAGGTTCATCGTTGCTGGAATGGAGGTATTTTAGCTCACTTCTCCACAGTCTGGAGACCTGGGACCTGGTTTTGTCCCTTGCTTTTGCATCACTCTTTGCCTTTCAGTGCTAAGCAAAGTAATTCCTAATCCCCTTTACAGATCCAGTTTTGAATCCCATGGCCATCAAGGATGTCAGGAATTTAATGCTTGTTTCTTGAGCCCAGCTCCAGGATTTGACCTGAAAGTGACCTCTCTTCCCAAGGCACTTGATTGCAGCCAGATTGCTTGCTGCTTTTTCCAGTCCTGCCATGAAAAGAAAGGAAAGGGGAAATGGTGATCAAACTCATCAGTTTGTCCATGATGAGTAAGGAAACTTAACTCAGTGCTATCCTATCCCAAACTTTCTGAAGGAAAAGAGAAAGAGAAGAAGTGTTTACTTTGATCATCTTCTAGGGAGTAAATTAACTAATTAGTCTCAGGAGTCTGAAGCAGGGGAGAGACACAAGAAACCCCATGCACCTGAACTTTTATACATGAGAAGTAAAAAAAAATTGTCCATAGGGATGTCCTTACATTCTGCTATATTCAATGCTGGTTTTATTTCTTTTTTTGTGTGTGTCTTCACTGTATTTTAGACTTTCCCCCACCAATGAGATGCTGAAAATCAGAGCATCATTTCTAGAGTCAGTTTGAAGTGATTAGGCTTTCAAGAGTATTGAGGAGAGACTTGTTGGTGTTGTAGATCATTGCTCCTCTTACAGTTCCAGCTACTGCTTCATTTAAGAGTCTAGAAAGCATTATCTTGGGCAGATCTGATTGCTGCTCACTTTATTCCTGTGTGTAAAATGAGCCAAAAACAACAGGAAAAAGAAAGGTGATTGAGATGTATAAGGAACAGAAGCTTAAGATGGGAATGAGAACATTTTCAGAACGATGATAACCACCAGCTGCCATTCTTAGGTATGATGGCTGCCATACGTCTGGAGAAGCAGTGAGCAGGCAGATGGACTAGATGATCTTGTGAAGTCTGTTCCAGGCCTGCTTTCTTATGCTGTAAGTAGGGCACCTGGGCAGCTTTTTTTTTTTTTTTACAGGGCATGACATGAGTGAGGTTTTCTCACCCGAGCAGATGAAAGGAGAGAAGCCCATTGCCATTCTTGTAGGAAACTTTGAAAGAAGCAATTAAGAAAAAAAATCCTCATGTGCTTCTCTTTGCACTGCAAGGTACAACAGGTGTTCTAGCATCCAATGCTGATTGTAAGGAACCCCATAATTGCTTGTTTCTACCCCACCTCATAGATTACCGAGGTCAGGTTCAGGATGGATAGTAATGAGGATCACGGGACCATCCTGTCCTGTGGAATTCATCTCTGGGAAAGGTATGGTGAGAAACAGATCTTTTGGAGGAAAGAAGGATTTGCAGAGATGCGTGGAAAGAATTGGAGCTCTTCTACATCCTGTTTGCAGACTGTACATTAGAGAAACATCTGTGTCTTGGACCCTATACAATGTCACACCTGTAAGTAGTACTTCTGCTTTGTGGTACGAAATCAAGTTGACTGGGTTCAATAGGAGTCTTTCTCTTCATTTTCACCTCCTCTGGGTCACTCTTATAACACTGCCCCTCAGACACTGAAATGAGTCATTCAATATATGTCCTCATTTAATGCATTGAGGGCAGTCAGCACTGAAGGGAAAAGGGATGAAACCAGGAATCATGCAAAGGAAATCATCCAAACCTGAAACTCATCAACATTGATACACCAGGCATCCACCCAAGCCAAGAGTTTACAATAACTCTAAGAAGAGGCTAGAAAACCTCCTGTTCACTTTACTGTGACAATCAACCAAATCGCAGCTCTCTAAGGTAAATTTCTCCATTACAGACTTCAATGCAGTTAAAAAATAGCCAGCCTAGCTACAGAGGACTGTTTCAGGTATGAGTTCTAGACAAGCTGCAGGAGTATGGAGCTCACCTGGGCTAATTTACTCTGCTCTCTATTTGAGTGCCTCAAGAGTGTCAAGTTTCCTGTCTGCTATGCATCCAAGCACTAGGGAGAAGCCAGAGCCATTCCATTTTTTTTCAGCACTGGGGCATCTGATGTGAGATAGTAGCATGAAAGCTATTACTTGGGTAGGATCAGGTGTCAGTGATTCACTTCTTGGTAATCTGTCTTTCTGATTCTCTTTTTTTTAATTCTGTCTCTCCCCTTCATGCTGTTTGGTAGGTCATGGTAACAAGTTATCTCAAATAGTTGTGAAAGGTACTAGAACCAAACTCATTCTGAAAACCATTTTTCTATGGATTGTTATGCTCCAGTGTGCAAAAAGTTTGTCCTTATGCCACAATTCTTATGTCTAAGAGCATATTTTTTATATATGGTTTCTCAGGGTGTGCCTTAAACGATGAATCACACCACCGTGAAGGAGTTCATCCTTCTGGGACTCACCGATGACCACCGCTTGCAGGTCTTCCTCTTCCTGTTTCTCCTAATGACCTTCTCCTTGACTATAACAGGCAACCTTGTCATCATAACAATCACCCTGGTGGATCGTCGCCTCCACACTGCCATGTACTTCTTCATCAGGAACTTTGCGCTCTTGGAAATCTTTTTTTCCTCCACCATCATGCCCAGGTTCCTCTACAGTCTCCTCAAGGGTTGGAAAGCAATTCCCTTTGCCAGCTGTTTGCTTCAGAATTTTTTCTTTTTCTTCCTGGGCACTTGTGGCTTTTTCCATGTGGCTATGATGTCTTTTGACCGCTACATGGCCATCTGCTACCCCCTGCAATATGCCACCATCATGAACAGCAGAGCCTGTCTCCTACTGGTGCTGGGCTGCTGGGTAGTGAGTTTTGTCATGATGTTTCCTCCAGGTGTTATTTTTGCCCAGTTGCCATTTTGTGGCCCCAATGTTATAAATCATTTCTATTGTGATGCTCCCCCACTGCTCCAACTTGTCTGTGCAGACACAAGAAATATGGAATTAATGTGCATCATTACAGCTGTCATTACCCTACTCAGTACCTTAACAGTTACCTTTGTTTCCTATAGTCATATCATTTCTACCATTCTGCATATGCCCTCTTCCACCAGCAGGAAAAGAGCCTTCTCCACCTGCTCCGCTCACCTCATGGTGGTTGCCATTTTGTATGGCACCTCCATCTTCACTTACATTCGACCAACTCAACGGGGTGGCCAGAAGTATGACAAAATCACTTCACTTTCTTATACGGTAGTGACCCAAGTCTTTAATCCCTACATCTACTCACTGAGGAACAAGCAGGTGAAAGAGGCCCTGAAAGATGGCTGGAATAGGAGGTTTTCTAAAATGCAGCTTTCATAAGGTAGGAGCATTCAACACTGCAGGATTGAAGTCCACCTGAACTGTCACTGCCACCATGGAAAATTGTCCATCAGATTAATATAGGACTTGAGTTATCTTCTTTATTGGGAAGAATTGGAATCTGTATATCCAGCTTCATATATTCATAGACATTGTGGCAAGAAAAACACGAAATCCTTCATTGTAAGTTCTTATATAATATAGGCCATCTAGTATGCCCCAGTTACTCCAGTATTGTGCCAAAATATTTTTGCCCTGTGAAAGGGCTTCTCCCATAAATGCATCCAGTTTTCATGCAAGAGCATCAAGAGATGAAGAATATACCAAGCCCCTGTTTTTTATGATCCATCATTTAATCACTGTTATGTAGCTATCACATAATGAAGTGTAGGTTGCTCTCATTTCCTCCATACTTTCTCACCTTTTCAGAAGGGTTATAGTCTCATACCCAGCCTTGTTTTTCTGTAGGTACTCTACTACCAGCATCTGAGCTAGGGGTTTGAAAGCCAGCTTGGGTTGGGTTTACTATGCCAGTCACTGCTACATGTCCCCAGTATTGCAGGGAAAGTGGGATTTTTAATACCTTTCTGATTTGAGTATTTTGGAACCGAGTTCTTCTGTGTTTTGTGGCAGATTCATACCTTCTCTGTCCCTGCTTCCCTTCTTTCTTGCTTACTTCATATGGCCCTTTACATCAGGGAGGATGGCAACAGGGGCTGGGGGCATGGAATAAAGAAAAGGGTCCCTGATTCCAGGGCCCATTGCAATGGGTATAGACATTAGCAAGAAGAACTTCGGGTTCTTGCCCCTGCTATCGAAGGTTTTTACTCAGTGGGAGCATCTACACATTGTCCTATGGTGATGTTGTTACTTCACTGTGCCTTAGTACTTCCTTTTGGATGATATAGGGTAATGTGTACATGCCCAGTGATTCTTTAATGCGAAACACTCTTTGGGAGAAAAGGCCAAGGTTTTCCACCTCAGTGGACCACAGAACAAGACTCATTCTTTCATGTTTTCCTGGTCAACTGAAGACTTGTTCACTCTTCTTTGCCCAAGGCCCAGCAAAACTCAAGGGATGAAGGTGGCTTTCAGCTCTACTTGTCCAATGGGCTGATATTTAGGGTAATTTCTATGCTTCCTTAACTGGAAGGGGGAATCTCTTTCCTGAGTGGGACAAATATGTTCTGGACAAGAAGACCCCAGGTTCTAAGACATTTAGTGGACAGAAAAAGACTAGGCTTCTATGTATTGGTAACTAATCTTGTTCAGATTAGAGCAGTAACAGTTGCAAAATGTTCCCATTATGTTTTTTCAGCTTTTGAATGCTGAAATTGTCTACATTTCAAGGCTATCACCATGCAACAGCAGCAGCAAGGAAATCAATATTATTAACTATTCTTATTATTTTTAGTATTATCATGGTTTCTTTGTAAAACAAGTAGTTCTAGGCTTAAAGTATGTTTGTCCTACTAGTTATGATGCTTTTTATGGATGTCTTTTTAAAGAAAAGGACATGTACTTTCCAACAGTTGATGGGGAGTGTGGTGGGAGATATGAACATGACACAAGTTCTTGTTTATTTAGATAATATTATGGTGTTTGGCAAAACCCTTGAAGAGCGTGAGGAAAACTGGTAAAAGTTCTAGCCAGACTAGAAACTGCGGGGCTCAAGCTGGCACTGGACAAATGTAAATTTTACTAAACCTCTGTTAAGTATGTGGGCTCTGTACTTTCCCAAGAAGGAATAAGCACCGACCCTGACAAGATACAGGCAGTGATGAAATGGCCACGTCCCCAGAACTACCGATATCTCAAAAGGTTCCTTGGTTTTACTGTTTACTCTTAGTGATTTGTCCAAGATTATGCTGTATAAGCAAGGCTGCTAAATGAACTAACACAAGGCTACCAGACAGGGAGACACCAGCGTCTTGGCAAAAAACCCCGACCTGAGGTGGCACACCCCTCCACGGCAGTTCTGCACCATCCATTGGACCTGTTTGGGTGTCGTTGGACTGAACAGTGCGAGAAGGCTTTCTAAACCCTGACGACACAGCTTAACTGAGTGTCTGTGGTGGCCTACACTGATCTGGCTAATCCCTATGTGTTACACATCGATGCCAGTCTTGAAGGTCTGGGGGCAGTACTTTATCAAGAGCATAAGGGAACCAAAAGGCCTATTGCATTTGCCAGTCGGAGCCTCACACCTGGTGAAACGAGGTATCCAGTTCACAAGCTGAAATTTCTAGCCCTAAAGTGGGCAATCACTAAAAAATTCAAAGACTGTTTCTATGGGACAAAATTCACTTTGTGGACGGACAACAATCCCCTCACCTAAATCCTAACCAGTGCCAAACTAGATGCCACTGGACATCGGTGGGTGGCAGCCCTATCAGATTACCAGTTTAGTCTGTGCTATAGAGCTGAGCGATGAAATACAAATGCCGATGCCCTCTCCCAATGCCTAGACTGTGACCTAGGAGGGCTTGGAAACTGTTTAGAAGACAGCATTACTGATTGTGTAGCAGAGGTACTTGGTTTACTCCCAGCAGGTGTTCCAGCAGCCCTAGTGGATTACATTGCTCTAAGCCAATCCACTTGCCCCAAATGAGTGTTAAAAAACAGAGACGGGCCCAGAGACAAGACCCAGAGATTAGCGGGGTCTTAGAACGAAGACAGGGTGGTGTCATTGGGCCCGGGAATGGGCCTAACACATTGCAGGGCAGGCTGTTCATATGAGAATAGGGCTGGCTCCAAGTGATAAATGGAGTTCTGTATCGGGTCATCACTGGGTCCCTGGGAGGCAGAACCCAGCTTGGCCTGATGTGTAGCCCTTCTGAGTGTAACCAGGACCCTGACTGATAGCCAGACCAGCCCGATGCTGCCCAAAGGTGCAGAGCCTGGGCCAGGTCGTGACATGCAGCACAGGCAGTGCTGGGGCTGAGGTGGCCGGGGCCGTTCCACAGCAGAGGGCCTTTGTCAGCAGTGGGTCCTGAGCACCCAACAGCTGCTGCTGCTGTGGGAGAGGGGCTGTGCACCCTGTGGGGACCCACCCCTCCCAAGACGTAGCCCTCACTCCAACACAACCCGCACACCCACAGTCCCCCAACACACCCACAGTCTCCTCGCACATAATTCCCCCCACCCCCACGACCTTACCTACCAGGGACGGTACCATGCTGGGCACTTCTATTTGCCCAGCATGGTGCTGGGGCAGCAAGAAAAGGGGGCAACCATAGAGACCATGGTGTTCCTGGATCATGCCGTGTCCTACTTTTTCTCCATGGGTTTCTTTTTGATATCTGGATTCCCAGGTATCAAACTTAGAGCTTGCACTGCAAATATGCATTTCCCACTGTGCCTGTTTGTGACATCTCAAACTGCTTTAAGACACCTTAACAGGCACATGTGCGCTTGTCTGGATGCACCCTTTCTGCCTTTCTGTCCATTGCCCCTTCACATCTCATCTGGTTCATGTGCTTATTTTTAATTTTCCTTTTTTTTTTAAAGTCTCTACATATGGTTGGCTACACACAAGTTAAGAAGGCAGCAGATTTATTTATTGTTAATTTGGTTTTACTAATTTTCCTGGTATATCCAATTAAAAACATATATTTTTAGTGATTGTTTTTGTCTAGAAGTTGGGCCAGAAGGAGTGATGGAGTTCATCCCTTTGTTCCTCACTAATGATAACCATTTAGAGACCATCCTGTTCATGGTTCTCCTCTTCATTTTCCTCTTGATCCTGCCTAGAAACCTCAGTCATTGTCACTGTCATCTTGGTTGACCACTGCTTTCTACTGAAGCATCATTATCATTATCCTTTGCATCCCCTCTTCTTCAGGTAATAAGGGCTTTTCCACCTGCTCTGCTCACCTCATCATGGTCACAATACCGTACTGCAGTGCTATTTTCAGAGACATCTGGCCAGGCCAGAGGGCTGTGAAGAGATTTTAACAAAACAGTTCCCTTTATTCTGTGATGACCTAGTTGTTCAACCCCTACATTACTGAAACAAGCAAGTAAAATAATCTAAAAGAGATCTCTTCAGCAAAGCATTTTCTCAGTTGAACTGGACACGGCAAATAAAGAGAGCAAGAAACTCCACACAAGACTTTGTTGTTCTCTGTGATGGGGTGTAGGTTACATGAAGAGATGGAACAGAAACTGGCCTGATCATCAGGAGTTGTAGTCAATGCGGGGTTTTCTTTTGACATTTCATCCTTGCTGATTAGGTCCCTTGAATTTCCTATTAAAGCCTGACTTTCAACATTCCTGCATGGTTTTTTTCATCCTCTCTCTTTTCAGAAAAGTTCTCCAATAGAAGTGACTGAAGAGAAGACTAAAAAAAGCCAAGCTCTCCTTGAGACACTATTGTGTGATTTGGGGGTAAGAGTAGAATTTGTGCCAGACACGTGGCTATTTGGGGCATCTTCAGTAAATACAAAGGACAATTTTGTTTGTAGTGAGATTCATTCTTACGTGCCAACATCAATTCTGTTGGAGAGGCAATGGTGGTTCCTGTATAGGTAAATCTTTGAGGTAGCTCAGAGTAGGCAATGTGGTGGTCCTGTGCTAAGTCACCTGCATCACTGTGCCCAACCAGAAACCATGCTTCAGCTGCCTCCCCTGGGGTGCCTCCGTCCAGCCAACCCTCTTCCAGGAGCACACCCGCAAGCCTGGGGTAACGTTTGCCGCCACCCAGGCCTTGGTCTTTGTTAGGGCTCTGTGCAGCCTGGGCTACACAGACCCTGTAGACCTTGGGGGTGTTTAGGCCCATTGTGGTATCTTGGAGTGTTTCTGTTAGCTTGCAGCATTCAAAAGTAGCTTCCTCTACAGAAGGACAGTAAAAAGCCACACCCACCTTAACTAGTTGAGCCAAGGAAGCTATAACAGCTGTCTGACCCCTCTCCCCACAGGAATCCGCAGCCAGCTCACTGCATGCAGGTAGCCTTTTATTGTTCAGGTAGAGCGAGAATGGGATAGATATAGAGCAAAGAGATTTTAGAGGGAAAAAAAAATTTTTTTTTTTAATTTTAAGCAAAACAGAAGGGGTTCAAGGACCCTTTGAATATGCAGCTAAACTGCATATCCCTAATATACTAGCTAAATTTCAGGTAAGTTACCAAATTATACACCCAGAGGGTAGGAGAGCTCAGGAGGCACATCTTTCTGTGTGATTGAGTTCCAAAATGACCAACTGTCCTCTTCCCAAAATGCCTCTCACAGGACAAAGGAAGAGTGAAGATCTATATTTTCAAAATGCTTGATAATTATGCTGAGCTCCACTTTATTATAAATTTACTATAGCTACTTTTATAATTGTGCTGTTGAGACCCTTAAGCCAAGTATGGGGTCCCAATGCTTTGAAAGTTAAAAAAAAAAAAAAGGAGAAGTAAAAGTTTGAAGCATGTTTCCATTTTGGGTTTCTAAAGAAAACAGATGAAAGGATGTATAAGCTCTAAGATAACCAGTACAAGTTATGAAAAACTAAATGATAATAAAATACATGATAAAATGATAGTAAAAGCTATGGTAAAGACATTTGGTATTAATATTGATTCATGTAAAGCCATATAGTGAGTGGTTGTTCCATTCCATTATTTTGTTGCATACATCACAACAGAGCTCTCTTTGGGACTGGTGAAGTATCATTCTGGGTCTTGCTAACTGGTTCTTGTCATTATAAAATTAATCAATAAACTGACTGAGCTGTGTCACTTTGGTCCCTTCAACCCTCCACCAGGAAATAAAATCCCTAACACTCAAAAATGGTCATGATACCTTTTTTCAAATGTCTGTCTAGGTTCAGATTTTAAGACTGGAACACATGAACTGTTATTTACTGGAGTGCACTACTGGTTTGTCACCTAGCTTAGTGTCACGGCCGAGAAGGGATGCAGAGGGGGCGGGTGAATATGGCACATCCAGACTTTTCCATGCCCTGCTCCTCTTCCACTACCATATTCCTGAAGTCAGAGGCATAAGGCAGTGCTGATTCAGACCCTGCACTCCCATCTGTCATCCTGAAAACCTACTGACGTACCCTCCCTCGCATAAAGAAAGACCCTCACAGGAGGTCAGTACCATGATCCCCATTTTACAGCTAGGGGAATCAGGCCACTGAAAGAAGGGCAACAAGCAGTCCAAGGAGAGAGACAGGAATACGTCTCGGGTCATCTGGGTTGCATTCCAGTGAACTATCCAATTGACCTTGCTTGAGGAGGAAAGTTTTGGCAAGAGATTTCAGAACCCATGTAGCAAAAAATTAGTCCTGTCTTCTTGTGGGGGAAAAGTCAAAAGAATTGAGCTTCATTTTTTTTGTTTAGAAAGCCTTCTGCAAACTCTGTTAACCTAATTGCTCTCCAGGGACAGAGACAATGTGAAGGAGGCACCGTATATTACAATTCTTATAAACAGGACCTTAAGCAAGGAGGATTTATTTGCTGAGGGGAACCACCTAAATTTTTCTGCATTCTGTTTGTCCTAATAAGTGTTTGCATCGTCCACTGTCCACATCTCCAGCTCAGTAAGTACCACCCTATGGGCTTGATTATTACCAGCAGTGATCTGAAACTAGAGCTGGAAACTTTAGTAGCATCACTATTGACTTTGAGTTGCTTTACCTCAGCTGAGAAAAAGATATGAGTTGATAAGTCTGAGTATGTAAAGCCTAGCTTTCAAATATGCTTTGCTTCAGCCCACAGGAAGTCTTGTGCGCTGAACAGCAAGCAGAATAAGAAGCCACAATGTCTGAGGGAAAATAAAAGTTCCCAATTTGTAAGGACTTTGGGAAAATAGAAACCTCATAATTACAGCCTAACAATACAGACAACAATGACATAGTGACTGCTTTTGAGGTAGGATGCAGAAGGAGAGGGCAAAATACGTAGGGAAACTAGCTGGCAGCTGCAATCCAAACTTCCCCAGTTCTGTTCTGGGGCTGGTAGAAAATCAGGATAAAATTAGTGAGAGCATAAATTGTTTCCGCATTGTATTTTTTCTCTCTCTGTCTGGCTAGTTATTCCCTTTGCATGATGCACTTCCTTCTAGGTGTGCCAGAATAGAAAATGATGACTTCCAAATTTGTTTGTTAAGCACCCATCACACTCAAGTTTACTGTTATCATCCTCATACTTTTTGATAAGCTGGGCCAGATTCTAATAGTATTTCTACATTTGTTTCAATTGATTTTTCTTCCTGATAAGCCATAAATGTCTAACTAAGCTGCCACGACATTAAAACATTCACTTTAGCACATTCATACAACATGAATGTAATAGAAGTTTCTGTGTTGTTGTCTCAATTTGCACTGAGAACTAGGAAAATGATTCCGGCCGTGTAGTTATTCAGGGCTGTTAGATAACGTGCCTAAGAAGAGGGTGAAATGTAATAGAACAGAGGGAGCACAGAAGAAAAAAGTCATGTCCAACAGTGTCTTGATACATACTATTTGAACTGGCTCCATTCATGTGTAATCATAGGAAAACTTAAGATCCTTTTCGCCCTTTCTTCCCTTTGGCTGCATACAATTTCTCTCCTTCCATTGATATATCATTTATGTATCTGTCCTGATCCATGCCTGTGGTTCCAGCTGCCCTGATCTCTGTTTTCACCATATCCATAGCAGCTGTGTAGACCAAAATGAATTAGGATGTTGAGTCCAATTATTTTAACAATCAGTACTCATACACTGTGTCCTTATATCTTGTTTTCACAAGGTATCTGTGCTGTCTAACTGGTTTCAGTTGTGTTTTTTCTCTTAAGGGGAGGCAGAAGCAATGAACCATACAACTGTAGTGGAGTTCATCCTCTTGGGTCTGACCAGTAACCGCCATTTAGAGATTCTCCTTTTTGTAGTTCTCCTCATTGTCTTCCTCTTTATCTTGTTCGGAAACCTCACTGTCATCACGATCACTCTGGTTGACTGTCAGCTTCAAACCCCGATGTACTTCTTCCTCCGGAATTTCTCTCTTCTGGAGATCTGCTTCACCTCTACCTTCATGCCCAGGACTCTCTACAGCCTCCTGATGTCAAGAAAAGGTATTTCCCTCCCCAGCTGTTTCATGCAATTATTGTTGCTCTACTGCTTTGGCTCCTCTACATATTTCCATTTGGCTCTAATGTCTCTTGACCGTTACATGGCTATCTGCCACCCACTGCATTATGCCACCATCATGAACAGCAAGCGTTGTGTTCAGCTAGTGCTGTGCTGTTGGGCAGTGGGGCTCCTCATCCTCTTTCCTCCCACAGTCATGATTGTCCTGTTGCCATTCTGTGGCCCCAACCTCATAAACCACTTCTACTGTGACATGGCCCCATTGCTCCAGCTCTCCTGCACAGACACACACCTCATTGAACTCTTGGTGTTTTTTGCAGCTATAATTATTGTACTTGGAACTTTATCAGTGTCTGTTGTTTCCTATGGCTGCATCATTGCCACCATCATGCGCATCCCTTCTTCATCGAGCCAGAAGAAAGCTTTCTCCACCTGCTCTGCTCACCTCATAGTGGTTGTCATATTTTACAGCGCCTCCATCATCAGATATGTCCGGCCCTCTCAGCGGGGTGGGAGAGATTTTGACAAAAATATTTCTTTCCTCTATTCAGTGGTGACCCAGCTGTTCAACCCCTACATCTATGCTCTCAGGAATAAGCAAGTCAGAGAGGCCCTCAGAGGTAAGGCCTTTTCTAAATGGTCTAATGATATTGTAAATTCCAAGGCGTGAATACTCTGGACATATATAATCATTGGATTCCTCCTACTTGTACACTGCTTGAATATGAGGCAGTGATGCACAGGATAAAATTTCAATAGACCTAGATTATTAATTTTACAAAGTCAAAAGGCAGCAGGAGAACTTTTAGTGTCACCATCTCTGTAATACAAATTATAGAAGTGTGCTCAGAATAACCTATCAAGTTATTCATGTATGATTAAAGCATATCTTCCCAAAAGGAACCTGAGGTCACTGAGAAATTCACCACTGACTGTAATAGGGTCAAGTTTTCAACACTCTTTATTTTAGTTCCCATTCCCTTTCTTTAAAAGTGCATTCATAATTGGCTTTCAGAGCTTTGCCAATCACTGCTGACCTGTTCGGAAAGTTTTCCCAGTGTAATTGACTGAAAAGAGCAGAAGGAAACATTTTTTTTTGGCGTGAGACTCAACAGTTGCTAGTCTGAGACAGCACTGCCATTGGTATCAGACACATGGTTTCTATAATTCTGCCTGGACACACAAAAGCTTCTGGATTTGGCATGGGAAAGCAACAACCACTATTCTCTCTGCATTCACAAAGCCTGTCACCTTATCAGCGAAGGAACTCTGACTGCATAAGATCAATTTGTTGTGGACAAAATCTTGTTGGGTTTTCTTTACCAGCTTCAATGAGAAGCTACAAGAATAGAGTGTCCAAATCCCACTGAAACTGAATGGGTTTTGTCTGTCTGGGTCTCTGAAACTCATTTGTGTAATTCTTTCTGGTTCACCTTTTTCTTATTACCAATTCAGTGCCTGTATATTTATTTTTATGTTGTTCACCCAATTCATGTCAGCCTAATTATTTATGCATAAATAGAATCCATCTTAAAACATAGAGTTGAAGGACTTTTCATTGACTTTTTAGTAGGCATCACATTAAAGGAGAGCTCTACTTCGGAAATGTACTAGTCATTAGCTGGTTAGCCCATTGAAACCTTTCTAAAAATGATGTGGTCTTTATCTTGGATGTACTGACAGATATGCACAATATCTTTATCTGTGACTATTTTAATATCTATCTATATGGATATTTTACTCTGTGTTTCCTTTTCAGATGTTAAGAACAGTAGGAAAAAGAATACAAAGAATCCAAGACAACCAATAAAAAGGTTTCAGAGTGCTAAGCTAAAAGTGGAGATTCCTATTTTCCATCACTAGCTGCAGCCACTTCACTTCGGGTTTATAGCACGTTCCTTTAAGACTGGGCGATGAGTTATTGCCATGATCCATAAACTGATTTAGCTAATTCTGCTTTCCAAATCCCTCAGATGGCTCTAGGCTCCTCCATCCAAGGCTCTAGGCTCTGCCATCCTGCAATCCTAGGCTCAGATTCTCTGACTGCGTCCAGACAAGTGTGGCCATGCGGTATGTGGGGCCGCAGACACATCTACGATGTCACATACTGTACCTTCACTGTTCTCCATACTGCAAGGGGTGTAGCAAAACCCCAAGTTTTTCTTTTTTTTTCTTTTCAAATGCACTCCCTCCTCTTCCTCAACCATTTCTGACTTTTTGTCTCCCTCTCTATTCCCTATAGATAAGTATAAGTAAGCTAAGATGTAGGATAAGCTTTAACACTTTATTTTAGGTAGTAAGTTTTATTTTTCTCTGCCCTCTTTGCAAATAAGTGCCCTGCTATTTTGATATAGATACCCACTGTTTTATAAATGATAATTATTATGTTTTATATTGATTTTTTTTTTTTTTTTTACTGCTTTTATATTGTGTGATTACTGTTTTAGACCTATATATGTAAGTTAGCATAAGACATGTCAAGTTTCCATCTTGTAATGTCAAGCCTCCATCCAGTCCCCAGGCCCAGTTGTGTAATCAATGACTCATACTACCCTTCCTATGTAATTTGGTTCCTGAATGAATGGGGATGAATGAGGGTGCTTGAGAGACAATGGCAGTAGGTCTAAAAATAGCTCCTTCTGAATGACTGAACCATCAACACCAATACCTGGACCAACGACCCAGCCATTGGAACCACCCTCAGCATTCAAGAAACAAAAGATGAGGCAACTCACCATTGTGCCAAGGCTGCACATGCTCAGTAAGAACATCCGGAACCCTTTGGAACAGGACTGACCTTGCCTGGACGGACCCTCCCCATATAAGATCAGAAGTAGTCTGCCCCATAAAAAGGGGTAGTGAAGACTGACTCCTTAGGAACTCCGTTTCCATCTGGACCAGACCAGCTCCACATCACACTGCCTATCCACCCCAGAGGCCCTGCCCCCTCTGGACAACACTGAGCTGAAGGAGACCCCGACTGGCCACCGAGGACCCACTTTCAGCCTGGGATAGGTAGATATCACCTGCATATTTCCTCCTCCAATTTAGACTCTCTCTCTCTCCTCCTGTACTTCAGCCCCTGCACCAAGCCTCTTTAACCCCTGCTGCTATTGTCTGTGTGTATATCTGTGTGTGTGTGGCAAAAGAACCAAGAAAATATTGTGTTGCCATCTCCCCTTTTGAATAAAACCACTGTCATTTGTAACCCTGAGTTGGGTTGTGTTTTACTGAGCCCCGGTCCCTTCCCTATCTCAAATTCCGGTCTCTTTCTCTCTCCCTCTTGGCTCTCAGCCCTGTTCCCACCACTTTTTGCCTCCTCTGCCCCTTTTCTGCAGGCTCTCAGCCTCGCTCCCACCACCTTTTGCCTCCTGCCACCTCTACCCAATCCCTTTCTCTCTGCCTTCTCTTTCACGCTCTCTCTCTGTGTTCTCCAGTCCCCCCACCTCAGACCCACTCCCAGTTTTCCTCTCCCCATGTACCTCTCAGCACCCCTGTAGCCTCTTTGCTTTAGCTCTAGCCTCCGGGCTTCTCCCTGGCATTGCTCCCTTGCTCTGCCAGCTTTCTGCTTTCAATTAACCTTAAATTACCCCAACTTCCCTCCAGCCTGCCGGTTCTAACCCTGGCACTGGCAAATTTCATCTCAGTCTCCACCAGCAGTAACCTAAAGTAACCCCAAGCATCAGCTCCTCAGCCCGGCTCTCTCTAGTCTACTGTTTCTAATCCCGGTCCTGGGAACTTTCACCCCCTACAATTTCACTCTCTCTCTTACCTTAACCTTCCCCAAGGTATCCCAAGTACACCAAGCACGTACGTACATACACACCACAACACCCAAGTTAGGAACTCAGCTGTGTGTATGTGTAGGTGAGTGGTATGTATGTGAACTGATATACATGTATGTCACTGTGTGCATGATATATGAATTAGTGATCCGTGTATGTGTATTGGGTGTGCAGGTATTGGTAATTTCATAGTTTCATAGAAGTTTGGGGTCAGAAGGGACCTGAACAGAACATCTAGTTTGACCCCCCGCCTCTGGCAGGAGCACATGCTGGGATCACACAACCCCAGACAGGTGTTCGTCCAACTTCTTTTTGAATTTACCCACGGTAGGAGCGAGGACCACTTCCCTAGGAAGTTGGTTTCAGATCCTAGCCACCCTGACAGTGAAATAGTGCCTCCTAATCTCTAACCTGAACCTATTCTCCAGCAACTTCTGGCCATTCTTCCTCGTCACCCCAGGTGCTGCTGCGAGGAATAGGGCCCTTTCTATTTGCTACTGATCTTCCCTAATGAGTTTGTGGCAGCCACCAAATCCCCCCTCAGCCTCTGCTTTCTGAAGCTGGACAGGGTCAGGTCCCTCAGCCTCTCCTCATAGGGCCTGCCCTGTTGCCATCCAACCAAGCAGGTGGCCCTCCTCTCAACCCTCTCAAGGCAGGCCACAATTGATTCTGGTCCAATTTATTTTGGTCTGTATAGCGTGTGTAGGTGCTTGAATTAGTGATAGGGGTGCATTTGCCTAAGCTGGTAATTTTGGATGTGTATGTGCCTGAATTGGTAGTGTGTGTGTGTGTGTGTGTGTGTGTGTGTGTGTGTGTGTGTGTGTGCACATGCCTGGTAGGGATGCATACACCTAAAGTGTGTGTATGCACCTAATTGATTTTTGAGTGTGCGCCTGTGCAATTGTACACCACGCTCTCCTGTCTAACAGCACAATATTGAGATCCTGAGAGTTGTCCTGACCCCACAGAGTAACAGGTGTAGCGTGGGGGCTTTTTTTTACCCCTGGATGTCAAAGTCTCAAAAAAACCCATGCAAAAAAAGCAGAGCAGTGCATGCGGGGGCAGCATGTGCTGCTCAAAACCTCACCTGAAGTCCACCTGAACTGTCACTGCCACCATGGAAAATTGTCCATCAGATGCATATGGGACTTGAGTTATCTTCTTTATTGGGAAGAATTGGAATCTGTATAGCCAGCTCCATATATTCATAGACATTATGGTAAGAAAAACATGACATCCTTTATTCTGAGTTCTTGTATAATACAGGCCATCTAATATGTGCCAGTTACTCCAGTACTGTACCAAAATATTTTTGCCTTGTGAAAGGGCTTCTCCCATAAATACATCCAGTTTTCATGCAAGAGCATCGAGAGATGGAGAATATACCAGACTCCTGTTTTTTATGATCCATCACCTAGTCATTCTCATGTAGCTATTGCATAATGAAGTGCGGGTTGCTCTCATTTCCTCCATATCGTCTCAGCTTTTCAGGAGGGTCAAGTGCTAACACTCAGCCTTGTTTCTTTGTAGGTACTTTACTGGAAGTGTGGCAGAAATGCCCTGTCGGTGCCCCTCTCCAGAGATCTGTCTCAGCCAGCCTGAGAGGCTGCTGTTGAATCTCTCACAGCGGGGATCTCGCTCCTTGTCTGCAGACAAAAGCCTGGCGCCTGGGAGGCGATGCTCTGGTCACCTGGGCAGGGGGGAAAGACCCGGCCCTGCGCGCGGGCCCAGGTAGCCAGGGATGCTTTGCAGATTGGTCAGTTTGTAGCCAGTATTGGCAGCTTCGATTGGACCGGGCTGCTGAGGTCAGAGAGGTGATAAAAAGGCC